TTTTTTTTTTTTTTTTTTACTTTTATTGTGGGGAAACGTAATTGTCAACATAAAAACTTCCCCATTTACAGCTCAGGGAAATTGATAATATTTTTATGTTTTCCATTATTCTCTTGAATACATTGCACATGTTTGTAGTTACTGTTTTAAAATCTTTGTCTGACGATTCTATCATATCTGTTATTTCTCTATTTGCTGCCATCCAATTTTCTCCTGATTATATATTTTCCTGCTTCTTTGTATGCCTGATACATATTTATTGGATGCCAGACATTTTAAATTTTACATTGCTGGGTCCTGAGTTTTACCGGATTCCTTTAAATCAGTTTGGACTTTGTTCTGGAATATCTTTGTTTACTTGAAATCAGTTTGATTATCTCAAGGTTCACTCTTAAGCTCTATTAGGATGGGTCCAAACAGTGGTGGATTACCCAATAAACAAGGTAAGCACAGCTTACTTGTGCTTAGTTCTAATCTTTGGTGAATAATTTCCCATTTTCTCACACATCAATAATTCTGCTGCTAGGTATGACTTGCATCTGTCTCTCTCCCAACCCCACAGCACTTTCCTACAGAATCAAAGCCTCTTTTCAAATTTACAATCCCTAACAGACACTAATACCAATAAGCAAGGTAAGCATGGGCTTACATGTGCTTAGTTACTAATCAGTAGTGAATAGTTTTGCATGTTTTTCATCAGTGAGTAAGCACATGTCAGCCCATGCTTACCTTGCTTATTGAGTAATCTGCCCTTGGATCCAAACTAGCCTTTTGAATGGGGGAAGATGATGAGTAGGAGATGAGAGTCAATCCAAAGACCGTAAGTAAATGGAAGGGAATAGGGCCAAGGAGCTAATGACAGGACCTGGAAAGATGAACCAGGTCAAGAGAAAAGGCTGAACATAACTGAGAAGTTGTGTTCCTGGAAAATTCAGTGTATATTTAAGCGGGGAGATGAGGAGCTCATGTTTATATGTAAAAGTTTGTATGTGGCATCCTTGGCCTCCACCCACTCAGTGGAAGCACTGTGCCTTCTCCTTTTGTACTAGACAAATTGTTGCCACACATTTCCAAAATACACTCTTGGCAGCATTACTACTCCCATTGAAAACCACTGGTTTAGGGTCACAGGATTTAAAATATGCCTCTCTTATACTCTGCCCTTCATTGGCCCTAATTCCTCAGTTTACAAACCATCTGAGAAATCCCAAGGGCCCATTTCTTCAAACATTGTTCTAGGAAAATAAATTCACATATACTCAGGGCTCCCGCACTCACATCTCCAGCCCTACCCTCTTGCCCCTGTCCCTGCCTTTTCCTCAATTTTCTGTATGTTCATCCTTAAAGGGGTGAGCTCAAGTGGTGTCCACTGAATTCTCCAAGGACCCCAGTTGACAGCACCTATCCCTCCTCTGAGCTACTCTTGCTTTTGGAGACACCGTGTGGTTCTGTTCTTAATTGTACAGAATTTTTCAAACTGTGGTAATGACTGGCTGCTAAAAACCTGGGAAATGATTCGTTAAAATGTAGACTCTATGGTAACATGCTCAAAAGATATTTTAATAAGCCTAGTTGATTATCTTGGTTTACAAACACCAAAAGCAAAAGAATCTACATTTTAACAAGCTCCCAGAAGGATTCTGATGTAAATTGAACTTTTAAGAATGATTGCCTTACTAGTTTCATGTGTGTCCCAATCGATTTGTAAACATGTTTAATGTAGGACTTTTTCTTTGGGGGTGGGGGGTAGACAGGAGGGTTGGGAGAATTTTGAAGCTAACCCCATGCTGAGCATATATAATTGGAAACTTTAGTTTTCAGTGTTAGGCACTGGGTATCAGTGTGACCCCAAAGTCTAGAGGGGTGGCCTTGGAGGGAGATTTTAGTCTCCTGCATTATCTTGATCACAAGCTTCCATTTTTTGATATGTGCAGTTGATGATGTTTTCTCAGTCTTATATACAGTGCTTATGTAAGGTGTTATACAAGTGAATCTTTGAGACAAGTCCCTTGGCCTTTTCTCCAAGCAGATTGCTGCTCCTAATTCCAGAAATTCTAGAGCAACTACTACCAGAGACACAATGATTAACAAAACAGAGTCCTATTTTTAAGGAACTTCAAGTTTAGTAGAGGAGAGTGATATGTAACAAATAACTATCTAGTAATCAAAGCATATAAGAAGTACAGAAGTACTGGAGGAGTCAGGAAACTTAACATCTGAGCTGAGTTTAAAGAATTAAAAGGGATCAATTCAACCAGACAAGGGAAGAGCAAACCAAGCAGAGGGAACTGCATGTGCAAAGGAATAGAGACATGAAACAATACTGTCTGGGTTTGTTGGGGAGTGAATTCAAGTTTAGTCATTTGGTGGCAGAGGAATGGGAATGGAGCTTCCTGCACTATCACCAGTAGGCGGACTGAAACTCCGATGAGGTAAATTTGTGAGAATGTACCCTGTATGCCACTTTTTGTCTCCCTTTTGCTCAGAAAAAGGCAGCTCTTTATCTCAAGGCTACAGTCTCTTGCTTTTGCAAGCATGGCAACTTCTTAAAGCCCCCAGGGCTGCAACCTGGAGTCCTGGCTCTGGCCTCCAACCTTATTCTAGGGCAGCACCTTTCTAAGCATTTTGACTGCAACCCCCAGTAAGAAACACCTGTGGCCTAGAACATCCATACACAAATATAAACAATACCTTCATTACCACCTACACTGTACTTTGATATTTTATGTTCTATTCTATTCAAAAAAAAAAAAAAAAGAGTTGGTTGAGACCCACCAAGTAGATCTCACAATCTAGTGCGTCACTACTTGCAGTTTGAGAAACAATGCTCTAGGATGACATCCTGTGACTGATTCCCAGTCAAGAAGCAGTACAATGCAGTGGCTAAAATTATGGACTCTGGAAACAAACCATTGGAATTCAAATCCTTATTACCCCACTTATTATCTGTGATACCTTGGCCAAGTTACTTACCCTTTCTATACTTTGCCTTCAATGTGGGATAATAAGAGAACCTACCGTGTAAGGTAGTTGTGAGGATTAAACAAGATAATATATATATTATATATGTAAAAGCCTAGAAAATTACCAGGCAGCTAGTAAATGCTTCCTAAGTGTTGTTGTTGTTATTAGCTGCTGTTGAGTTGACTGAGATTCATGGCAACCACATATGTGCCAAATAGAACTGCTCCTTAGAATTTTCAAAGCTGTGAGCTTTCAGAAGCAAATCATCAAACCTGTCTTCCCAGGTGACTCTGGATGGGTTCAAACTGCCAGCCTTTGGGCTAGTAGTCAAATGCTTAACCATTTGTGCCATCCAGGGACTATTCCTTAAGTACTAGCACTGCTATTATTATTATTACACTACTATTATTATTATTATTCTCTGATTCCCCTGTTAGCCTAAGATAAAGCTAAATTGCAGTAACACTCATAGAAAAAAAAAAAAAAAAAACACTAATATCAAAGGGTTTATTTGCAAAGCTGTACAAAACTACACAGTGTGTAGAGCAGAGTGGGGACATCCCCTGGGGATCATGTTCCTGCAATGGTTTGGGGAGAGGACTAGGCTTCTTTCCCGCCCATGGCTCAGTGTTCTGGTAAAGATGGATCTAAAATGCTCCTCTCTACTTTCTACTAACAAATATTTTACATTTCATTCGCTTTTTGTGACCCACCTAGAATCCCAAACCCCAAAAATAAAGAGGACTTTCTTCTGACTATGCATCTTGGGGACCATATTAAAATATCAGTGACAGAAAGGACAGTTGGATTTCTCATCTCAGTAACTCAGTGCACTCAATCCAATATGGGAAAGCACAGAAAAGGAGTACAAAAAACAGTGCATGCTTTTCAGTCAATGTCTCCCAGCACCTCAGATGATCTGATGGCAAAACTAAAGGAACAAAGGTGGTATTTGCCACCTGATGTGTGGAAACTAAATTTCAAGAACATTCTATCACCCAAAAGACAAGTTCAGGAAATAAAGAACTGGAGACTTAGAGTAAATGTTTCATTTGTCATGATGATCAAAAATGGATGGTTAAAACACACACATTCAGACCCTGGCATCACAACGCCTCATCCCACCTGCTCCAGGGTGGAAATGCCTCCAGGTCCCACCCACCCCCTCCTGCTGGGCTTGTGCGTCCACTGTTCCACCCAGGACTATGCACTGCACCTGGAACTTCTACTGCCCCCGTTTTCAACTTCCCTGAACATAGCGCCTGGAGGCTCAATGTCCAGGCAGAGATGTGAAGAAAAGTAAAGGCCGTGACTTTGTTGCAATGTCCAAGAGTTCTTCTCCATCTCCATTTCCCAACCTCTCTCCTTCTCTCCCCTCTCCCACCCCATCATTGTTCCCCCGAAACAAATAGGATGGCTTCACTGGTCAATTCTTCACATTCACAAACACCAAAAGCAGAGGAAACGCCCCTGAGCCACCCTCCCCCTCCCCCCAAACCCCAGTGCTGGGAGAGCAGCCGGCGGGCGCAGGGCTGCCTCGGGGACTGCAGAGCTGCTGCAGCTGTCCCTCTGTCCTGGAAACGTCTTTGGCCTCTGGGCTTTATCTGGAGGCCTCTTCCTTCAGCTCCTTGTTTTTCCGCACTTCCTCTGCGTGCTTGTCCTAGGAAAAAAGGCAGGGAAAATTTGGGTCACAGAAGCCTGCCCCAGGATGAAGGAAGGCTAAGGGGCAAGAGAACCGGAAGTAAAGGATGACTCACACCGGAAGTGGAGAACAGTGTCTGCGAAGACGGCCTGAGAAGGGGTGGAAGGTAGTAGGCGAGACATAGGAGGCAGGTAGGCGAGGTCTCCTGGTGCAGTGCCAGGAGAGCAGGCTTATTGACTTGGATCCAACCTCCCATATGGGGACCCTCTCACAGTGATCAGGGCCTATCAGCCTCTCCTTCCCTCACCTGGCCCTTCTAGGGTTTGGAGACTGTTACTTGACTTGAAGTAAGAAGCCCATCAGGGTACTTTGTGCTAGAGGAACAGGTAGAGCGGAAAAAGCCTCACTGTAAGCTTCCCACGCAGCTTGACTGCAGCTTTTGTTTGTCTGTCTCCTTAGTGAGAGTTGTTTTAACCTACATGATGAAAGATCTTCAAGAATAAATTGCCACAAGAATTTTTGGAAATGTTCAACTCCAAAAAGGGGATTTTTTTTTAAATGTTATAAAAGAACGCTCTTTTGTTCTACTGTGTAAGGAAGCCCCCAAAAACTGGGAATCTGACTTAAGAGGCACACCCAGTTCTGTGACCTTGAGTGACTCACCTCACCAATCAGACATCATTGTCTTGGTCTTTAAGAGAGGGGAGGTTGGGGAAAACTCTTTTACATCTGGAATTCTGTGACTTTAGTGTTCACTTCACGGGCTCATCCTGGTCTGCCTTACATTACTGCTCATTGTGCACACGTCTGTGTCTTCTATTAGATGGTGTATTCCTTGTGGGTAGGGATCTTGACTTTTTCATCTTTATATCTCTCATTTTCTAACATGGTTCCTTGCACATGGTGGGTGCTTAATAAATGCTATCCTACTGCAGGCTGGCATCACTGGGAAAATGGTTTCCAGAACTTACCTTAAGCTACAAACCTGTCCCTAGAAAAGCCCTAGAACATTCCATGGCCCTAGGAGCAGAAAGTGATGTGTCTGGGACAGTGGTTCTCAAACTTTGCTATGTATCAGCATGACCTAGGAAGCTTGTTAAACTGCAGGTTCTTAGAAACCATCTCTAGAGAACTGAGTTAGTAGGTCTGGGATAGGACCCAAGTATCTGTACTTTTAAGCTTTATACCAGGTGAGTCTGGTACAGATGGTCAGTGATCCACACAAATTGTGGCACAGAAGGCATTGTTTCAAGTGTCCCTGGCAAAAACAACATGCCTAGTTCCCATCCCACCTCCTGCCTTCCCCAGGCTGAGTAGGAATCAGTGCCCCAGAGAAGTACACCCACTAAAATGTTTGCTTCTGACACCTTTTACTTTGAATCTTAACTCACCTCCAAAACTATTACTCCAGGATATGGGCCTTCACAATCACTCCCATTCTAAATCTACCTCCATTTCCAGCTGAGCGCTATATACAAATCCTAAAAGGTTTTTTGACTCCCTGCTCTTGGCCTCCAATGCCCCCCTCACTGAAAAGAGACTGGCAGTACAGTTGTTGGATGGTCTTCCTAAGAAAGGCATTGAAAGAGCCACCTAGACTTGGGGCCAAAAAAACTGGGTTCTACAAAATGTGCATGAAATGCTGTATGGAAAATGAATTTGCTCTATAAACTTTCACTCAAATTACAATAAAAATTAAAAAAAAAAAAAAAAGCTGAGTTTGAAACCAGCTCCATTGCCTATCAGCTGTGTGACACTGGGCAAATCATTTTACCTTGTCTGGCATGGTTTCCTCACCCATCACATAAGGGTAATTTTGACTTAGCCTCAATTACTTGTTTTGAATTTTGCTTGAGAGCTTATGCCCCATCCTATCCCAAATGCATTTCTTTTTTTCTTTTAAGAGTTTGCTCCAAATCATTTTTCAAAAATTTAGGGAAGCCTGAAGTCAGACCCAGATCACTTCCCTTTCATATAATCTTGGTGGAGACATTGCTGCCCCTTGGAGAACAAGCATCAGAGGGAAGGGCCTGCCACACATTGGCCAGCTCCAGGGCATGTATAGTATTCAGATCCCTTGTGAAGAAAGCCAGATCTTTCTAGTAGCTTTTGCCAAAGGTCTGAGACTATAGGTGGATGGGCAGGAAGGAGTAGGGACCACGCTGCTCACCATGGGACGAGGCCACCGATCAGGTCCCGGGAGTCACCGCGCAGCAGGCGGCTCCTGGAAATAAAACACAGAGCTGGAGCTCTCCCAGGAGCTGCAGGAGAAACTGGGGCAGCCTTGAGACTGAGGAAATGAGGCCAGCATGTTCTTAACAGAGTAGGCTGTTATTCTGCTGACACTTGGGACCATCCTCAGTCTCTCACGTTTCTCATATTTAGGTGACACCATTTGGGTTATTGACAAAAGGCAGCGTATTGGAAAGACCTGTGACTCATTCAGTCCATGTCAAAAGGATTGTAGAGAATCATGTTTCCTGCACAATGGGCAATTTAGGGTATCATTCACTTGGCTTGGAGCCAGAAACTCATGTCAGCATCTTTCATTAAATCAAATCAGTCCATTCAAGGATGAAGCTAGGAATGCACCATGCTTATCTATCCCTATTCCTTTCCATGAGGTAGGGTTTCTCTAGAAGATATAGAACATACTCTCCCTAAGACAGTGAGAAGTTTCAATTGCATAACTGTGCAGAATGTCCCAAGAGGAATTCTAATACTAGGTTCACATTGCCTTTGACCTGCCAAATCATTTCCCGGAACTCTCTAAGCCCAATAGAAATATCCCCATGCCTGCCTGAGGCTGCTTTCCTTTCTGAAATGACATGTAGATCCATGTATACTTGCCATGAAATAAAGACAGAGTATCCCAGAAGTCTCCTCTCTACTGTAGGACCACTTACCTTCTCTTGCAGACGTTCCAACATAGCAGCAAGGTGAGCCTCGCGGTTCTCCTTATTGGATTCCATCTTCTGGGCCAGTTTTTCCTTAGCCATTTTGATGAAGTTGTTGTTTTCCTCAATGGCTTTTTGGATCACTTCCCTCTCATGTTCTCGTTTTTCTGCCAGGTGCTTCAGGAGTTCAGCTTCCTGGTACTGGAGAAGCGCATGAAGGAAGAAAAAGGCCCTTGAGTATGAACAAGCTGGATATATTTTAGTCACCCTGACTTTAAATCCCCACACCCATAACATACTCCTCCTTGAGCTTGGTCCCTGGCCCGTTAGCCGGAAGCAAGGCTACTTCTTGGATTCTCTCATCACCTTTACAGCCTTTTATACTCTGAATTTTTTTCTAAGCCTTCTTCTTTTAAATGCCTTTGGATTTCTTTTTCTCATTACCCCATTCATTCATTCATTTAAAAATACTAAATGATCTTATTCTATATGCCAGGCACTCTTCTAGCAACTTGGAAAAGAAAGTAGAGATAATACACGTATAAATAACTACAACCCAGAGTAACGTGTGGCATGTGCCTTAAGAGGTAGAGAGAAAGTGCTATAGCAATTCAGGGAAGGAGAAGATTATTTTCTGCTTGAAGGAAGCTTACACAAAGAAAGCACCTGAGTTGGGCTATGAAGCATCAATAGGAAACATCAAAATCATGCTAAACCAAAAAAACCAAACTTGTTGCCATCAAGTTGATTTTGATGCATGGCAACCCCATGTGTTACAGAGTAGAACTGCTTCATAGAATTTTCATAGCTGTAATCTTTACAGAAGCAGATTGCCAGGTCTTTCTTCCCTGGTGCTGCTGAGTTTCAACTGCCAACCTCTAGGTTAGTAGTCCAGTGCAAACCATCTGCACCACCCAGGGATCTAGAAGACATGTGAAAATATACCAAAGCATGTCCTTCTATGTGCTTCCCCAATAAAAGAACCCATTCTTTAATTGTGTGGGCTTTCCCTAAATCCCTAATGTTTTTCAATATCTTATCCTTGTCACTATGCATATAAAGCCACCTCTTGGAGTTATGTAGTGCAGTGTCTCTTACCCACTAACTAAACTGTAAGCTCCTAGAGGAGGCCAGGGTTTTTACTTGTTTGTTTCTTCAATTCTGCTTCACTCTCTGCCCTGCACATGGAAGGGGCTGGCTAAAGATAGGTTGGTGGTAACTGAACTCCAGCTCATGGCCACTGCCTCTTTTTCTCAAATCCCTTCCCTTCATGCTGGGGTGGAGGAAAGAAAGAGCATTCCTTACCTTCCGTCGCTCCTCAGCTGCTTCTAGTTTCTTCTGGATCTCCTCCAGTGATGGATCTCGCCGCCGAGGGAGGGAGGCATTGAACTCAGGTACTCCATCAAAGGAGGGTGGCTTCAGGATGACTTCAAAGGATTGGCCTGAGGTGCATTTGTTCAGCTCAATGACTTCCATGTCAGAAATTACACACCAGTTCAGGTCCACTGTGTCTGCTGTAGAGAGCAGAAAATGTGCTGCTCAGCCCTATAACAGTATGTGGGTACCCATAAATCATGCACACCCTATTCATGGGAGATCTGGGAACCCAATGGAAAACCTAATGACCAGGCTCCTGAACATTGGTACTGAAGGTCAATGAGCCCAATGGTCTGATGACTCTGAGAGGCCTGAAAGAGTTCATAACCACATAAGGTTTCAGGCTCCAATAGGAGGGGTCCTAAAATATGCAGTTTTTTTTAGAACAACTGCAGCAATACTAGCTGCTTTGGCTTTTACTTCCTCAGTAAATATCTTCCCATGGATGAGCACTTGCTCAAATTGTAATCTATGGTGACAAACAATGGTGGCTTTTATCCACCACCCACCACCCTTCCACTCATTGTTCAACTACCAATCTGATCGCTTAGCCTATTTACATCTCTCTCCTTAGTTCCTCCTACCCTGCTCTCTTCTTTCTCTCCAGTCAGCACTGTCTTTCCGCTGGCTTTGATCTTTTCTCCTACACTGTCTCCCACACCAGCCTAAACAGAAAAAACAATCTCAGGTAATCAGAGCACTCCCATCTCTCATTTCCAGACCAAACCCTTCCCTTTTTGTTAACCCCCAGGAAATTAAGGAGTGACTTAATCCTTAATTGGAGTTCCTGGGTGGTGCAAATGATTGGCATGCTCAGTTGCTAACTAAAAGGTTGGAGGTTCGAGTCCACACAGATGTACCTGAGAAGAAAGGCCTGGAAACCTGCTTCCAGAAAATCAACCATTAAAAACTCTGTGGAACAGAGTTCCACTCTGACACATATGGGGTGGCCATGAATCAGAATTGACTTGATGGCAACTGAGATTCTTTATTTTTTTATTCCCTGATCATCACTGATGAGGACATTGTCATTTTGTGCTACCTACCACTATCTTGGGATTCTCCCTGTCACCAAGTCCCACACAGCATCACCATCACAGAGCCTCTTTGGGTTGCAGCAAACAGAAGTTCTCTTCCCATCTCTGGATTCTTCAGCATTATCTCCTCTTCACTAAGGAAATTTGTCTGCCATGAAATCTAGATATTTACACTGTTTTGTCTACTCTTCTGGTCTAAGTGTTCCCTGAGGGCAGAATCTCTTAGTTCGTTCTTGCATTCTCCACAGCATCATTTTGTTTAATGAATGATCAGAAGTTAACTAAGATCAAGAGCACTCTGTAGAGGGTCTGACTCAGACCTTGAACCTGGCTGTGTAGTCCCACAGGCTGTAGCCACATACCCTGCCTTCATCATTGTGCTTAGATTTTGAATCAGATGTGATGATTTCACTGGATCTGGGAAATAAAACATGATATGGGGGCAAGTTTCATGAAATTGGGGTAGAAGATACTGTCTGTACTCATGAAAACAATATGCAAAAGACCTCCACCCCTTATTTTCCGAACTGTGGTCTTCACTTACCTTCATATTTATAGGATGACTTATTCAAGGGATCAGCCAAGAAACAGGAGCAGAACAAGGACACCAGGGGGAGCTCTTTCATCTTCTCCTTGTAAGCTGCAGAAACATCCCAGACAGAAGTTGGTGAACCCCTCTTAGCCTCAGAAGCCAGCATCTGTGGGGGTCTGCGGGTCTGGGTAGACCAGACTCCTGGGTCCCACACAGGTGCCCAAACTACAGAGAACCAAGCCTAGACTAGGGATCAGCTGCCCCTTTTGACCAGCACTGACCTGTTTAAGTGTGACTCAGACCTACTCTTGTTTATGTATAAAAACTTGAGCCTTCTAGAACACTCAGATGATCTTATCTTTCCTCTCAATTCATCTTCTCCTCTCATAGTACTAAATGAAAATACCCTCAGGGAAAGACCCCCAGCATCAGTGCCCTCACCCTACCCTGGCACCCTGACTGAGCTCCCTAGTTCTCCACACTTGCCCCAGGATATTTCATTTCTTTTGATCCAGTTTGGAGGAAATCCACACACTATTTTACTGAAAGTACTTAAAAATCCTGTCCCAAGGGTAAAGAAGCTGGGGAGTGAAGGGTCATCCTCACCATGTTCTTCTGGGCACTTGCCCCTTGGTGAGTGGCACAGTCAGGCTGTGAGCTTTCTCTGACCTTCCAAGCATAATGATCAAAGCCAGAGGGGCTGGTGTCCTCAAGGATTGGGTAATGTCCCCATCACATCTATTGTGTCTGTGTTTAATTGCATCTTGAAAACCAGAAGGTTGCTGGTGAGAGCGGATGGTTTGGTGTCTCACTCACCCCTGTGCTGCCCCAGGTATTTCACAGCCAGTTTTTTGTGTGTTCCTGTGAGTTCTCTCCCCATTCTGAGATCACTGCTTCTTATCACATGCCCTGGCATCCCAGGCCCCTCAAGGACTAAGCTTACTCCCAGCATAGTGCCCAAGCACTCTCCCTCATTCCCTTTTACACATTTGAAAACATAATTGTAATATAATACATATTTATGGTAAAAACTTTAAAAAATGCAGATGAGCAAAAGGAAAACTCAATTTATCCCACCTACCATCTAGAAATAACATTTTTAACTCTTTAGTGTATTTCCTGTCATTCTTTTTATTTTATTTTATTTATGTGCACATATAAGTACATATAGATGTGTACAGAAGTACCCCATGCTACAGTGCCCCCCCTTACAGAAACAGATTTTGTACCTACCGGCTAGGGTCATGTTTTTTGGGGTCTAGTGGCTGAATCTGGCTGAAAGTTACAAAGCAGGTCTCTCACCACCTCAAGAAGCTCCACACACCTGAGAAGAAAGAATATTTTACTGCTTACAGGTTATTCTCATAAGGAAGGTCTTTAAGCAACAAGGAGGGAATCTCCTGTCTCAAGGCCCTCTTCTGACAAACTCACTTTCCCAAACACTGATCCTCAAAGAAACTCAGACACCCCTTTCTCACATTAGCTCAATCAGGCTCCATTTCCATGCATTAATGACTTCCCAGTCTCAAGTACCCTGAAAACAAAAAAACAAAACCCACTACCATTGAGTAAATTCTGACTCACAGTAATCCCATGCATGACAGAGTAGAACTGCTCCATAGGGTTTGGGGGACTATAATCTTTATGGAAGAAGATCACCATACATTTCTTCCATGGCACCATTGGGTGAGTTCAAACTTTAGGTCCCTTCACACCACCCAGAGTATACAGACATAGGTTTCCCAAAACAGTATTGGTCCAGGGGTGCTCACCTGTCTCCTTGCATAGCTCAAGGGACTGGCACAAAGTGAAGATTGGTGCGAAAGACAAAATCTTAAGTCAGAGTCCTCTGGGAGTTTTTCTGAAACTAACTATGTGTCCTGAATTTATCCCTGTACACACCCTAGGCATTTTCAGTCAATTCTAATATGGAGTGAGAGGAAATCACCAGTTACTATCGAGTTGATTCTGACTCACATCAACCCCACATGTACAGAGTAGAACTGCTCTGTAGGGTGTTCGAAGTTGTGAGTTTTGGAAGCAGATCACCAGGCTTTTCTGCCAAGGTGCCTCTGGGTGGATTCAAACTGCGAACATTTCAGTCAGTGGTCGAGCACTTAACCTCTTGTACCACCCAGAAATTCTGAGAGAGAATTAGAAAGAGGATATTAAAATACTTATTCAGGTGATTTTTTCCTAGCCTTTCTTCCAACTTCCCTCCAGCAAACCACTGAATCAATTTAAGATTTACTCCTTGAATCAGTTTAAGATTCAATCAATCAGACCCTGAGAGGGAGTAAATATTAAAGAATAATGTCATCATAATATGATTAGTGAAAAGGTAAAAATCAACATGCATAGGTTATTGTGGGAACATGGAGAAAGGGAACCATTCTCAGTATGAAGCCTGGGGAACCAGGAACGACCCAGTGGTGTCAGTGGTGTTCATGGCACCTGGACAGAATCTTAAAGGTTGAGTCAGAATGAGGTAGGAGGCTGCAAGGCAGACATTCTGCCAGGCAACATGCAGGGCATCAAAGTGAGAAAGTGTAGTGTTTGTGAGGATCTAAAACTCTTTGATGTTGAACCATAAAGTGTGAAGAGAGGAGGGAGAGGAGAAAAGGAGAAGCAAGGGAGGAGGCAGATCTGGGAGTTTCTGGGAAAGGGTAGGTGACAGGGCTCCACTGAAGGCCACCACCCAGAGAATGAGGAATGGTCTTTGGTGAGTGACTGTCATGAGACTATTTGGTTCTTGACTAGCATCAGTAGTCACTGTGCCTGCGAAGGGTGGTGTGAGCCAATGTCATCACTCACTGTGAATGTGCACTGAGGCTGACTTTGAGCCTCTTTCTTTCCCGTGATAAAGACGTTTACCATCTGGGGACTAGGCTCCATATTATCTTGGGACTGGAGGGAGGAAGGCAGTGGGAGTAGTGGGCTCAGCTCCCCCTTTGGGGCTAGACCAATATGGATTCCAATACAGACTGCATGTCTCTGACCAGTTGTCACTAGTCTCTTCATACTTTTAAACCTCTTTCCTTGTTGTAATTCTTCAGAGTTGTACAGATTAAATAAGAAAAGCATATGCTTTGCATCCAACAAAAAGGAGGTGCTTAATTAGTGTTGGTTTCCTTTTCTCTTCCTTTTATATCAGTATAGCCAAATATATATATATATGTATAAAATAACAAAGCCAATTGTTGCCAAGTCATTTCCAACTCATAGATACCCTTATAGGGTTTCCAAGGAGCTCTGGTGGTGCAGTGCCAAAGACATTGGACTTAGTAGGTTGGCAGTTCAACCCCACCAGCCACTCCTCAGAAAGATGAGGCAATCTACTTCCGTAAAGATTTACCACCTTGGAAACCCAGTGGGAGTCACTATGAATTGGAATCAACTCAATGCCAGGGGGTTTTTGTATAGGGTTTACAAGGCTGTAAATCTTTACAGAAGGAGACTGCTACATCTTTCTCTTGTGGAGTGGCTGGTGACCTCATACCACCAACCTTTTGGTTAGCAGTCAAGTGCTTAACCACTGTGCCACTAGGGCCTGCTATCAGTGTAGCTACCAAGTGCCAAACCTTTGCTTCATAATCATTACCTCTGGTCCTCACTATAGCCCAAAGTTAAGTACGGCCATCCCTATTTACAGGTGAGGGAACAAAGGCTCAGAGGGTTTGCGTGACTTGCTCAGAGGCATACACAATCAAATGAGAGAGTCAGATTGTCCCTGACCTAGCTGGCCTTAAAGTGCCCTTGTCCCTGCAGCATCTCCTTGTTCTTCTCATTTTTGTATTTTCAGACCTAGGTGCCCTGCCACACCCCTCCCCTCATAGCACAATAGGCCTTCTCTCCTTGGGAGTCAAACTGATCCTGACACTACCAGTACATCTCTGGATGGGGAGGGCAGGCCTGGGTGCCTGGGTGTGACAGCCCTAGTCATGAGACTCCATTCTGCACAATCCATGCTCAGAATCAGACTGATGGAGAAGTCAATTTGGCATGGAGTGAGCAAGCCCTTGCCAGGAAGGCAGCCAGCCTCAGACTTTAACATGGGTGATGGATAGAAGTGGAGGTCTAAATAAGTAGAAAGGGAGTTGGGGAGAGACAGAGAAGGACACTCCAGGAAAGAAGGGGAAATTAGCTGGACTTTTTCTCTAGGAGCCAGTGCTTGGAGTTAGCAAACATGCCCCTTAGCCTGAACAGGAATAAGAACTTTCACTCTTAGAATACTTTATAGGTTATAGTCCCTTTCACCCACATTATCCCAGTTGATCTTTACATGTCCATGCAGAGGCAACTTGGAAGAAGGGCCTGATGATCCCACTTCCAAAAAGTCAGCCATTTGAAAACCCTATGGAACACAATTGTACTCTTACACACATGGGTCACCGTGAGTCAGAGTTGACTTGATGACAGCTGGTACCGGTTACATGGAAGATAATGTACTAGGACTTTTAAGAGCAGAAGAAACTACCACTGTCACCCACTCGGAAGGGGATCTATGTAGGAGATCCTGGATAGAGAGGGAGAACAATGTAGAACAAAACTCAAAATCAATTGGGGGGAGGAAAAAAAAAACAGAGGTACCAGGTCTGCTGGTCTGATAGAGCCTGATGCAACCACTGACACTATGGCCCCTAGCTGCCCTTCAGGTCTGGAACTGAACCCATACCTATGGCTTCCAGCCAAACAAAAAACAGGCATATGAGTTAAATATTTACCTGAGGTAGATACACTCTTTGGAGAGAACAATCATGCGAGAAAGAAGGGCTGTTTATGCTCAGGGGGCAGGAGTGCATGGAGGGATGGACGCAGGAAAGAGGTAACTATCAGGAGGAAGTGGGAAGGGAGCTGTTGCATTGCGGTAAATTGTAGTCAATGTCATGAGACAAAGTATATGTGAACTACTGTATGGAAAGTGAATTTCCTCTGTAAACTTTCACCCAAATCACAATTTAAAAAAAAAAAAAGAGCAGAAGAAATTAGGCAGAGAATTGAGAAGGTCAGAGAACACAGAAAAGGAAGACAAGGACAGGAAGCATGAGATTTCATAGAGGTGGATACAAATACACATGGTCAAGGAATTTGTAATTCAGACTTCTCCATTTCACAGGTTGGATTAAAATCATTAAAAATATTTGTGGAGCACCTACTGTGTAACAATCTCTTTCATTTTAATTTTCATAATAATCTTGTAAGATAGCAGCTCTGGTAGCATAGTGCCTAAAGCACTTGACTGCTGACCAGGAGGCTGGTGGTTCAAACCCACCAGCCACTCCTTGGAAGGAAGGTTGGGCAATCTACTTCCATAGTGATACCGCCTCAGAAACCCAAGGAGGGGTTGCTATGATTTGGGTCCGACTCAATGGCAAACAACAACAACATTATATAGATGAGCATATTGAGACTGAAAGACACTGTGCGTGATATTTCCATGGTCACTCACTGAATAACCACCCAGGATACAAACTCAAAATCTTTTCACCATATCTCAAATATTTGTCTTTATACATGGTCCAGTTTGTTCTTCATGATGATCTATGTAACTGTGGGTACGTGGGCCCTTAAATCCCCATGCCCACAGTGAAGTTCTTCTTCACTCAAGACCCAGAAGATATTGCTGCCAGAATTGGTTAAGTTTTCTATTAAAGTAGTGTAGGATTTTGTGCTTTTCTCCTCTAGCGAGTAGGGAGCAGTTGCCATCTTTTGAATGAGAGAAGAGGGGAATGAGGATGTTGGTTACAGCAACAATAATAGCTACCTCTTCTTGAGCATCTACTTCATATTAGAACAATCACAGATATTATCTCAATTTATTTTGTGAGGTTCTTTAGTAATGAAAAAATTGAATTACAGCAGTTAGGTAAATTACACCAGGTCACACAGCCAAAAGGGGTAGAGCTGGGATTTGGATCCAGGTGGAGGCCTCGGTGGTGCAGACAGTTAACATGCTTTGCTGCTACCTGAAAGGTTGGTGGCTCCAGTCTACCCTCAGGAGAAATATCTCATGATCTACTTCTGGAAAATTAACCATTGAAAACCCTATGAAATCAATGTCACTGAATTGTACATATAAAAATTGTTGAATTGGTATACGTCCTGCTGTGTATATTCTCAACAACAACAAAAATAAACTATTAAAAAAGAAAACCTTATGAAGCACAGCCCTATTCATGGGGTCACCATGAGTCAGAATCAAAATCAACTCAGTGGCAATTGTTTTTGCTTGATTTTTTTTTTTTTTTTTTTTGCATTTACTTCTAAACCCCATCTTTGTCTTAAGTCATACTACCAGTTTGGAAGACCTCAGTGTGATTCCTGGCTCCTAGACTCATGTACAACCAACCTCTGTCTGTAAATGGAGGTTTATGTGTTCCTATGGTACTGAACAGGTTTCAGCAAAACTTCCAGATGAAGGTTTCAGCAAAACTTCCAGATGAAGACAGACTAGGAAGAAGGCCTGCTGATTTACTTCAACAATCAGACAATGAAAACCCTGTGGATCACAATGATCCAATCCCCAACCAATCATGGGGATGGCACAGGACCGGGCAGCATTTAGTTCTGTTGTGCATGGGGTTGCCATGAATCAGAGGCTGACTCTACAGCAGCTAACAACAATAAACAATGCAGAAAGATTCACCTGGCAGCAGCAGCTTGGGAAAAAGAAAAGTAAGCCTGGAAACCAACTCTAGCTGCACAGTGATGGGGGCCTGCCTAAGACCTGCCCACTTCCACTCTGGACTTTTTGAATCACAACCAGCTTTGTTTTCCCATTTGCAAACTAATCCGTATGCTTTCCCCAACTCCAGCATCTAAGAGTCTGTGTGTGGAAAACAAATAACCAGCATTTGTGTCAAAGGATTACATCACTAGTATAATTGATAAAACAAATGAGTTAGTGATAAACCCACAAAGTAGAGATATAGACATAAGGAGATAAAGACACAAAATGAGTAAGTTTTCATTGGGGGTGGCATTGGCTGATTGTGAAGGTCTAAATCCAGGCTGTTGAGTCAAGAGGGATTTTAGGATGGGATGGAGGGGGGAGGAGAGGACACCCCCCCAATTTCCCATTGAACATAAGAATGTCAGAAATGGAGAGAACTGGTAATCACTAGCCAGTGGTTCACAAGTAGGGAAAGTTTCACCGCTAAGAAACATGTGGGACCTTTTGATTATCAGACTGGAGATGGAGTCATTGAATCGTACAAACAGCTAACATGCTGGGCTGCTAATCAAAAGGTTGGAGATTCGAATATCTGAGGCACCTCAGAAGGCTTGCTGATCTACTTTTGAAAAATCAGCTAATACCCTCCTCCCTGAGGATCAAAGTGCCTTGAGGTTGCACAATGAGTTAGTAGAAGAGGTACAACCAGAGACCAGCTTCTGGATTCTAGTGTCAGTGCCCTTTCTCCTTCACACTGCCCTCTTTCTCTCCTTCTGCACACAGCCTGGCTGAGGACAGTGGAGCAGTTTCTAATGAAAAGGTGGGTATGCAGAAGGGATTCCAAGGTAGAAGAACTTTATGTGACCAGAATAAGGACCTCCACTCAAGTTTTTATGTTGTGATTTATGACCAGGGAAGAGATAGAGAAGACCATTGAGCTCTTTGATGCCACATGGCCATCCACTGGGGGCTCTACTGATATCCTAAAGCACCTCTGACTCTCCACACAGTCACAGTGAGCAAGTATGTTATTTGTCACTGCAAGAAATGGCCACATAAAAGTGATACAACCACTGTGGACAACAATATGGCAATTCCTTAGAAAGCTGGAATTGGAGATACCATTTGACCCAGCAATTATTAGATATATATCCTAGAGAGGTGAGAGCCAGGACAGGAACAGATATATGCACACTCATGTTCATTGCAGCACTATTTACAATAGCAAAAAGATGGAAA